ATAACAAAAAAAATTACGAAAAACAGATATGACAAACATGAACCAACGACAACCACTAAACTACAGGGAAAACACATCTAACAAAAACATAGTCCGGACGTGGCAGGGAATTCATACATCCCTAACAACAAAGTAAAGATCTGAGAGTACTCGAAGTTACTGACAGCTAGTTCAAAGCCAATAACAACTAAAAAATCGTGTATCTTAGACTAAAATATCAATCAGTACACATCCAACATCCAATGGATTTAGTGTAAATACGTCATAAGCAGTCAGAGAAAAACATGACATTGTGCAATGCCAAACATAGGTGTCGACAGATTGTAGTACCGTGAAAGTGGATAACAATAATATTTAGTATGGTATTAATTCATTGAAAACAAAATCAATATTTACACCAACAAAAAGTAAACAAAAATACCGAACTCCAAGGAAAATTCAAATCGGAAAGTGCCTTATCAAATGGCAATATCAAGAGCTTAAACACATCAAATGAATGGAAAACAACTGACATATTTTTGACTTGGTACAGGCAATTCCTTATGTAAAAAAAAAAAAAAACACTATTCAAAGGTTTTACTACAGTATTGAATTGGTAACCTGTTAGAATAAATGTATTGAAAGGTTTGATAAGTTTGTCCGGATCGTCTCTTAATTTCCAGGCTCGGTAAACAACATCACCGTAAAATTTAGGATGTGCTATTCCGTTTGAAATAAGTCTTCTACAGGTACAGCCAAACTTGCAAACCAAATCTTTGTATCAATGGAAGAATTTAGTAAAGGTTTAAAGTAATTTGTGGTAACGAAATCCCTGACTCAATAATTTACCAGTAATTTATAGACTACGCTCATTGAAATCCAAAACGTCACTTCAGAACGAGTGGGATACACAAACACTGTGAGACAGTGCCAAAGGAACACCACCGTCTAAAAAAGACAATTAACAATAGGGAAAAAATCGTCCCTTTTGTCGTACATTTTTGCGTAGAGCTTCTTGTGTAAAACTGAAATATCTAAATCTTGGAAAGTAAAGTTATTCAAGATTAAGAGCTCATGTTCATAAAGGTAATTAAATACACAAGGAGCATAGCTGGCAGTTAGCATATAATACTTAATACTTAACATTAAATCATCAATATACACATGATACACTTGTATTTAAACATTGCAAAAATAAAATTTCAGACAAGCAAAATACTAGCTTAAAGTAAAAATCATAAATGTTAGTTTAGTTTCAATGTATTCAGTACACAAGTGGCTCTATATTGCATTTTTAATGTTTGTTATTCTGATATCTTGTGTGTGTAAAAGACGTCATCAATTTTCAGTAAAGCATTTGAATGGAACCAACATAAAAAACAAATCATGAAAAGAAAGAAGAGTTATACAATGGAGATTTGTAACTGTGTTATGATATTGTAACTATCATATTTGTTTATCTAAGCCTAATTTGTTTTGTGTGGCCTTATAGTTGTTTACAAAATAATCTGATAACTGTGCAGGCTAGAAATCACTGGAAAATCATAGATACTGACGGAATGATTTGACTTACATAACGATTCCAGAAGGATCATAATAAAAGATGCATAATTTAAACGTCTACATTGTTCTATAAGTTTCCGTTCTAAGGTTTTCTAGAGTTTCCCTTCTACAGTGTTCTAGAGATTTCCGTGACAACTATATATACACAAATACCGAAATCACAGATCAGACATAGACATTGGATTTTCAGAAGTTTTCTCATTTGGACTGACAATTTTATTTACGAACAACATCATACTAGATTGTGACCTATTGGACGTAATATTCTGTTTGGATTCCCCAGAAGAATTCCGGATAAAGAAAAGACAAAAGAATGGACATATATTTGGCAGTTAAGTTGACATTTATATTTGTGTAATACATCTTGTAAACTTGTGTATAATAAATCTTTTTAAATTTTATTATTGATTTGTGTCTTTTGTTGGCTACAATTTAAAGGTAATTCTGGCCGTAACAACTGGAAATCCATTCAAATGCAATTCTAAAAGTGTTTCTCAGAAAGCACTGAGTGGTTTTATTTGGTTTAAAACTTTGTAGCATACACATGTCAACACAATATATTTTTCATCGAATGTCTTTTTGTTTTTCTGCGAAATACCGTTTCGTGTTTTAGGATTTAATTTATATACAAGAAGAATAAGAAGAATATTTATTGAATCCAATTAAAGGGCCTGTTTCCGAGCATATACATATATATATAGTATTGATTTTACAGTATTTTTATATATATATATATATTACATTAAAAATAAATGATTAAATAACTATACTCCATACCAGATGGTGTTTGAAAATAAATAAAATGAAATATTAACCCTCTCTAATACATAAAAAATAAACTACATCACTACTACATGTACATTAAGTTCTTGAATGCAAATTTACTTTTATTTCAAAACAAGTAGTTATAAATCTTGACACTGACATATTCACATTTTTAGACTCACAAGACATCAACCAAACCATCTGTTCGTACTTGGAAATATAAGGGAAGTTTTTACCTTGAATGCATGATTCATTAGGAATAAAATTCCTTTACTTTTGCGTATGCAGTGCATTCCATTAAAAAATGAAACTCGTCTTCATCCTGCATATTTTTACACTGCCCACAAAATCTTTTATCTTTATCGATTTTTTTTTATATCGACCTTTCTCAATAGCTAACTGATGAACACTGATTCTAAATTGAGTTAAGCTTTTTCGATACTAAAATTTATTAACTTGGCATAAATATGCTTCCCTTTTGAAGATGTTTTTAAATTTAATATAAATACGCAATTTTCCTTTTTTAACATTTGCATTATCGTCTATAGTATTGTTCCAGTAAATCCTATATCTACTAATCAAAATATTTTTAACCTTTTCAATGTCAAAACTTTTCATATCAACACCAATACATCTTAACATATATACAATATTAGTATACCAAGATGACTTATTACATTTTTGAGAGTCCATACTTGTGTCCAGGGCTTGTTTTAACAAATGATCCTCCTCTTAACCATTAATTCTTTGTAAAAATTTAAGAATAGAACAAATAATGTCAATATGCAATGTAGTACGACCTAGCTCTCCCATAACAGCTAAATTACATGACTTTTTATTTACCCCGAAAATGTATTGATAGAACATTAAACTTAAGTTCTCGCAATCAAACTTACTAATTTTTTTCTCAATTTTAAAGAGGCTGTCTGTTTGACATTTCCAAAAATTAAAAGTACAAGTTCCCCAAATCTTGAAAAGATTGGGACTTAAGTTATCCCCTTGTCTAACTCCAATGTTAACTTTAAGTTTATGTGTTAATTTAACTTGTACAAAAATATTTTTATACATGTTCTTAGTAATATTATAAAAATAACCCCCTATCCCAATGTTTTGGAGTTTTAACAACAAGGCTTCATGCACTACAGAATCAAAAGCTTTCCTAAAATCTACAAAACATGTGTATAAGTAAGTTTTGTTTGCTATACACTTTTCAATTACATGACAGTCGTGTTATGATATTTTTCATCTCGGGACGCGCCGAACGAGACTGTAGAAACAGCATAATCAGAGGAATGCAAGAAGATTTTACGTCATAGTGGAAGTGTAACCAGTGAAGAAACTGAGATCAAGCGAACATAAGTTGATTTTAATAAATTAAATCAACTATTAAGGGAATGTATAAACTTGAGATTGATTGTATAAATTGTAAAATCCAATAAATAGACAATATCAGTAGGAGATTGACAGCAAATGTGGCAAATGTGACATACCGAATTAGACTGATCACCAGGTAAGTATTCAAATGCGCAACACGATGGATGCCTTTGGACCATGATCTACTTAACAGTCAGGAACACCTGTGATCAACCCCTGTTTTCTTATTTGGAGTTCGTGTTGTGCAGTATTTAGTTTTCTATATTGTTTGTGATATTTTGTTGCTTGTCTTTCGGTCGTTTATTGTTGCGCTGGTGTTGTCAGTTTGTCTTCGACTAATGAGTTTGAATATCCCTTTGGTATCGTCCTCCTCTTTTTTAATTACTGTTAATTTAGAAATGACTGCGAGTTTTTTTATTAATATGAATAATTCCACTGTATGAGTATCGCAAAAAGAAGAACTCGCATTCTCATATCAAAAACATGTATCTGTATACAGTTCTTCTCGAAATCGTCAGAATTAATCTCGCATTTTTTTTCATTTTTCAAAAATCTCAATAATAAATGCACACAATAATTTCTGAATTTACAGCAGTAAGTAGTTATATACATATCGTAAAAAAACAAAATTTCAAATAATAGGACATTCGGAGTTTTCACAATCATAATTGCAATTATATGTTGTATCAGAGTTTTTTTTAAACTTTGAAGGTTTGCATATATCTAACAAAATTCCTAATTTATCATAGGTTATTAAACCAAACTCCTAAACTGGGCAACCTTGGTCTATTACCGATAATTGTCATATTGGAAATCATAATAAATATCCATATTTTTATATTGGAATAGCATTGTAGAAAAGTATCTACGCTTTACTTTTGGACTTCCTCTTCCAAAAACACAATAAATTATGGAAAACACATACTTGTCTACTCCAAATTAATGTGTGTTCCAAGTTTGGATTCAAAACCCAATGGTTGTTGTAAATGAAAAACAACTTCATGTTTTGTTCTACATTGGTTACCTGTGTATTGCAGGTATATTGTTTAGATACACATTTTATGGGTCAAATGTTATCACAGGAGGTCTTAAATATTAAAATCTGTCTTTACTCTTGTTCAGTTCCTAATCATTCAAATGACTTATTGAATTCTGGAGTTCTTTTTCTAAGTTCACACATAGACAACATAGAAATGGTTTCTAGACATGCTACCAAAAGCAAGTCGACCTAAACACACATTTAGAATTTTATGTATACTGTAATAAATTTATAAGAACATGCTCTAGCAAGAGACAAATTCATCCAATACTTGTTATTTAAATGTACAAAATAATGTATGTCTTTTGGTTTGTTGGTTTGTTATCTTGATTTTAGATGCATAATTTTTTCACATAAAAGAGATATACAAGAAAGACAAACGCCAATCCCTATCAAATAAAAGGCGCTCTGTATATCTTCTACTGATATATTGTTTACAACAATTCTTTTCTGATCATTACAAAACGTCTGAGGCCATCTGTAATCTTTCCATTTATCTATTAACCCATATTCATGTAGTGAGAGAATCCTAAAAAGGAGAAACGAAAATATGTTTTCATAAATAAATCACATATAAGTATTATTGTGTAATAGGAATTCGACATTTATGGTGTATACATGGTATTAAAAAGTTATCATGTTTATATATTTGTTGTTATTGGCTTTGAACTAACGTTCAGTAACTACCTGTACTCTCAGAAGGATACTTTGTAGTTTTTGTCTTTATGCTAGTTGTTGTTGTTTTTTTTTTTGCATCGTGTCGATCTGATGAGTGAAGCCAAGATCATATGGTTCGCCTTTCTATTGCATAGTAACATTGTTTTTGAATACAAAATGGAACACTTTGTAGGTATCTCATCATGAGTTGGTAAAATATATCTGTAGGGATACTAGTATCAGTAGGCGTATTAACATTGGTTAGAATGTATAACAAACAAAGGTCCCATAACTCAGGAACAACAAACAAGAAAAAGTCATAAGCGCGTCTGCATTCACCAAACTATAACAGCAGTGCAAACTTTGTAATAATATACAGGCAAACTAGAGCTAATGCATGCATTGTAAACAAAAATACTATTAAGTCCCTGAATCTTTTAGCGACTGAAATTAGAAATTTTGATAGGAAAATATTACATATAACCAATTTTATTTGCTAATTGAAAATTAAGCTGAATAAGATAATTTAAGACAGCAGAGAAGATAATTCTATTTTTAATTGTTTTTTTACTAAGACTTAAATAAAGAGTGAGCTATTTATACTGTTAATTTATGATGTCTATAGTCTGGTCAAAGGGTCAGAGTGTCCTACTTAACCAAACGATAAATTGTTGAAATTAGATAACATGTTTTCACGTGCAGAGAAATTTTACTTATGACCAGTGCATCTTTCTTATTGGTCAATGATCTTGCGGGGTCAGCACGAGTTCACGTGTAAGTGCGTTGTGGTCACTTCCTTTTATCATCAGCATTTGATGTGTTAACTTGTGATTCTTATCAAACAATTTGTTAAAAATTCCCACCCACATACCTCCCTTAATGTTATCTTTTGAAGTAGATATGTATATATGTTTATTTGTGGGGCAGATTTTTCTCCCCACCTTTGCTATTCTTTGTCATTTATTCAATTGATATGATATTAATTGATGTAATTTCGTATTAATTATGTATTATTATTTCATATTAAATATGAACTTTTATGTCAAATGTTTTATTTGCAAAATGTTTTTTTTTGCATTTTATGATTTTGAATAAATGACCTTTTTTCGTCAGTTTAGTTTTTATATCATATAGCAAATCAAGCTCAGACTCTGGCCTGTGTATACATAGTATGTTTATGGTATCTAGCTGTCTGTCTGAAAAAAAACCCTAACAAATCAAACTAATTGGCAAATAAACGCTCCTTTTGAGGAGTCAGTAAAGGGTTATTTGTGAACAATTAAAAAAACATTTTAACAGAAAATAGTTATGTTTGTAACAAATGTTTCTTTACGGCTGACAAAAAAAAATACTGCATGTACCCAGATAGAAAAAAACAGAAAAAATCATATGAAACTGAATGCATCAGAGCGTTAAGGTGTAAGGATACAATGCAATGAGTTCACAGTATTAATAGTAAGAAGAAGTACTGTATTATGTTAATGTTAAATCTATATCACACAAGCCTTAATGTGGTTTTTTAATTACACATTTCCGGTCGCATACATGCTGGTTTCTTCTGGGAAAGTTAAGGAGTTAACATTAAATAATGTAAATACTTACGCATTAGACAATATTCTGACACATGGGGAATTGTTCGCCAAAGCAAAAGCAACTTCGTTGCGAGCCAGATGTTCGTTTAAAAGTACAAGATTACAATGACCTGTTGTTTCGAAGTCGATATACTGCTTAGCCATGATAAAGGCATAGTTTCCGTTGTACAATTTTTGCAAATGTTCTTCGCCTGACTTAGACAAAACACTAGGATCGCTTTTGTTAAATTCTACTATGCCATTCCATATGGCAGCATATGTAGGAACTGTAGATTCCTGCAAAAAAAAAGAGTAATGTTTAAATGTAATAAGATGTTTGTCATAGACTTTAGTTTGAAGTCGTCCGTCTGTTTCAATATCGAGGAAAGAATCAAGATATCCTTTATCTACATCACTGGGACATATGCGATGCAAGCAATCACTGACACGTGGGTTATTGACTGACAAGACAGTAGGTCAGTAGGGCAGCGCTAGCACAATAAGTACCAATTGGAGGTAGAACATACCTCATCACTATAGGACTGAAGGCTATATTTTACTGCAATAGAAAGAATGATGGTAAGAACTTCAGAAAGATGTTTAGTCGAAACTCTCGAGGACCATATATTGTTCTTTATCAGGATCTTTGTAAAGGTTAGGGATCCAGTATAAAAGATGGAGATTTGCATTGTACTTCGTTTACTTAAAAATAATTTTATTTTGGATGTAACACGTCCTCTGATTGGCTGAAAGAGTTTTGTCTATCAGCTCATAGACATAATTTTTAACCAAACAACTAACTTACTAAGTATACAACACTTATATTTCACTTGAATGAAAAACTCATTAAAGATCACATGCTTATAATTGAAAAACTTCTTACGGGTTGTACATTAAAAAAGTAATCGTTAACTGAAACTAACCTCGAAAACTGTCTGAAAAACACTACTCCCTAGAGTTCCCCATTTATACTCATTTTGATTGACCATTTCCTCTAGTGATGTAAATGGAAGTTTTGTTTTGTGTATTGTTAATGATGCTGTAAGATTTCCACTGTATACAGCTATTGATACAATACAGAATATCCACCAACAGCTAACAAGAGTCCTTCCAGCCAAAGATGCCGGCAGCGGTTCTCCACCTATTGAAATATTCCAGTGAATGAATATCTGATGCATCTAGTGCAGAACAATTGGTACTGTTATTATTATAAAACGTTATAAACACAATGTCTTCTAAAAATTTTGAGATGCATGTACATGAAAAAGAAGCATTATGCATATGATTGTATAGGTGATTTCAGATTTTATTCATACTGTATTTATAAGGATCAAACAAAAATCCAAAACAAAAACAATTAAATATAGTATTAACAATTAGCACCAATAATAACGTGTGTGCTGTTTTTACAAATGTATAATCGTACCGTTTTTATAATTATTATCTCTCATATTTAGATTTTAGGTTAGGTTTACCTTTCAAAATATGTACACGAACTTTTCTATTTAGCATCACTTTTATTCAGTTTTCTCGCGACAATGTGCTATGAAGTACCAATGGTCGAAGCGTCATCACCAACTGGCAGGTCAATTGAAAAACTTTAAAATTCATATAATTATGCTATTTCTTTGCCTACCAGATTGATTGAAGGAGAAAAAAAAGAAATGGTCGGTTCGAAGAAGAATCGCGTACCTTAGTACGGTGGCTTCTTTTCATGTGGTTTGCTGCATTAGCACGTTTAACTTTGTCTACGCGTGTCATTCAAAAATAAAGTGCAAATTGAATTCATTATCAAAGAAAACATTTGTTTGCACTACCTTGCGATAACAGAGCTCCATACATGTACAAGAAAGAATGGTACAAGCTTGGCGATTGTCTTTTGGATACTGTTTGATATAAGGGGTTCCTTCTTTCTTCTAGACAATATACAAATGACATAACAATAAGAGACACTCCAATCATAACTATTACATTTGTCTCAAACGGTTTTATTAATGTCCGCCATTTGCGCTCCCTTGGCTTGGCATAGACTACTGTCACGTGGTCAAAAAGAAATGGATAAGTAAAATCAATAACCTTCTCCCGCTCTGGATTTATTGTTAATGACGAAACCACAAGATCAGCTTGCTGAAAATTAATAAGAAATAATCCGGTGAAATGTTGTTTATATGTGGCCTCTAAGATGGTTATATACAACTAAAATTATTTTTGAATAAATACACTATATAGAACATGATATTAAATCTTAATCACGACCTCTGCTCGTTCTTTCATAATATTTGCCATAATCGTTGTTAATGGCGATATGTTACAATGTACGTATATGTTTCTTTGCCTTTTTTATGAAACATTTTACAGTTTGTTGTACTGTTACACCACTGTCCCAGGTGAGGGGAGGATTTGCGCCTTCAAATATGTTTAACGTCACAGTACCCAAATTGCACCGAGTACCTAAATTGCACCTATTCAACAAAAATAGCTAGGGAAATCTTACAAGTTTTCTTTGAGACTTAACAATTTGTAATTTTCTGATTTGACATTATACACGTCTTTCGACATAGGTAAATATATATAAATATACACAAAACGTTCACAGTATATATCAACCGATGAACCATTCACTGAAAAAGAAAAATTTACGGAAACGTCGCCATGCGACGTTCACAAAAAGTAATCTTTTTAAAATGAGCAAATACAATGTGTTGCAAGCATCCATTTAAAAAAAAATGAATATAAAGCATGGACTAATGTCAAATTGTTTTAAATATTTGAAAAAATGGAACAAAACATCTGTGTGTTATTCGATTTGTAAGGATGTGTATTTAAGCATGGATGCAATTTGGGTACTCCTCATTATAGAATCATGGATCGTTTGGAGGTCGGTTCAAGTCCATTTTTCTATGATTCAATACGGACTCAAAATTATATTGGTGTAACTATATATTAAATAATGATATGTCTACAAAATAAACACAGAATGGTAACTTTTATGTGGATCATAAAAAACACGTAGATGAAAAAACTGTCAAAATAGGTGCAATTTTGGTACCCTCACGTTAACCCCGCAATATTCTTTATGTGCTTGTCCCAAGTCACGAGTCTGTAGTTCAGTGGTTGTCGTTGGTTCATGTCTGTCATATTTGGTTTCCGTAAATTGTTTTGTTATAATTCAGGTTTTTTAATTGAATTGTTTCACATTTTGCATGTCAGAGCCTTTTATAGTCTACTCTACGGTATGGCTTTTTCACATTGTTGAAGACCGTACTGTTTCCTATGTTTGCCTATAGCTACATCCACTTCATATAAACTTTGGTGGATAATTGTCTCATTGTCAATCATACAACATCTCCTTACTTTTATGTAAACAAAAGATACAAAAATAATATACATATATAATAAGCAAATTCTAGTCTGCCAGAAAAACAATATCACTGTTACCCAAATACCTTGACGATGACTATGAAGTTAAACATATATAATCTAATCTGATATCATAGGTATTTGTGATACTTGTATTGTATGAGTTAGTCTATTCTCACGAAGATGTGTAATGTAAAAATAAGGAAATGTGGTATAATTGCTGGTTGGATAACTATATGTTATGGACCAACATAAACAACTTCAAAGTCTGCGCTAGACCTTACAACACTGGCCACAATCTATACCAATATCAGTTATTGATAAACCTTCACTGTGTAATTAAAATTTGCATTCGATAAAGAAAAGTTCTTTAAACATTGTTTGATTTCTTTTGATAATTGACACACCTCGTTTTGTATCATGCCAACCATTCCTGTCCAGGTTCCATTTGGCAGTTCAGCACCAAATGCACCATCTGGGGGTATAGTTACTGAATATCTAGTAAAATAAAAGTTAACATTTTCATGAATTTTCATGTCTATGTTTTCTCAAATAATCACAAGTGCCTGGAGAGGATATTGTCATGTTGCCTTGTGTTACGATGCGCTGGGGATCGAATATAAAAATACAAACAAATTTAAAGGCAAGGTGAACTTGATTACACGAGTTAGTTGCATTGTCGTCCGAACTCTAATGTTCGATATCCTGTTTTGATATTTGGTTCTGTTGTTATTCTGTGGTGCGCAAAACGCACGTCTAACGTACCAAATTATAAGACTGGAAACTTGGAATTTGTGATTATATTTACTCATGTATTGAACACAGCTTTGTGAAATAATTGAGGCAAAAGTATATTCATGCGCTATTTTTTTTCCAATTTACTCGGAATTCTTAAAACTGGTTTGGAAATCGTCTCTGAATGCAGATTGTTTAGCATGTAGAAGTCGTTTGATGAAGGAATAGTAACAACAAATCTCATGGTAACACTTTTTAAATAAAAATGTAAATATACTTACGTAAAATTAAGCCGTCTTGCTATCTCGTTAAGTATGTCAAAACACAACCCAGTGAAATTTCCATCCTCTTGAATAATTGTCATTGCACCCCACTGCAAGTTATTATGAAATAAAAAGATTTCCTACTTGTACACTTATTATGTCTCAAGTTAATTAAGAAAGATCATTGAAACTACGTACACCTAACTCAAATCAGAAAACTACAACCGGTCGTTGCTATTGTTCCGCTTAGCTGATGGCATTGGCGCATAAGTGTAATAATCTCTAGTTTAAAGTCTTATATTACATTGTACCCGTATTAGCAAGTGCCTCAACAAAACGGATACAACTTGTCTCTTTAAAAAAAAAAAGTTTGTTACGAAATTTACATGTTACCGTCCTTAATACGCATGATGTTTTACCACAATTCATTTCGCAATCATTTTCATCATACTAACTTAGCGCCTTACTGTTTTGATAAGCAATCAGCCATATACCTTACTGAACTACATCGTACTTTGAAATTTAAGTTTACTTATCTGCTTTTTCACTTATAGGCCAGTTTTGTTAAAAAGTAAACCGTAGATATTTATTTTATAATCACCGAAGTCTTATAATTGTGTATGAATCAGTTCGATATTTAACATAACAAACACTACAATCGTATTTACCTCAAGAGTAGTCACACGTAACTTGCGTCCATTAAATCCATTTTTAGTGTTTGGAAAAAACTGTCCATATATAGATGCCTCTCCCTTGTCGCTGACGGTGCCTATGTTCGACAACTCTCGACCAGACTTTGTCCACATTAAAGTTTGCAACATATAAGGAATGGTGCGTTCACACAATACTACCTTAAAAATTAATACAGCCTTTCAGAATACATTGAAATAATGAAGCAAGCAAATTTTTAGAAAATGTGATAGATGTCGAAGAAGTCGAATTTTAGACAAAGGATACATAATATGGCGTCTTTCCTACATCAAAGTAATGCTTATATATTTAGAATGTTGTTTAGTAACATGATTAAAACAAATTTCGATTACTTTACATGATATTTGTATTTTTGTATGAAAAAATGTCTCAAATAAAGGCATAGGTGTATATTAGGGAGCTACCATTTGATTTTTTGGGGGGGGGGGGGGGGGGGGGGGGGGCTAGGATGAAATTTGAAAAAAAAGGCAGGACAGGAGTTTTGAGTGAAAAAAAGGCAGGATGAGCAACTTGGCAAAAAAAAAAAAAAAGGCAGGATGACAATTTATGTAAAAAAAGTCAGGATAAACTAATAAAAAAAAAAGACAGGACCGAATAGAGTGAAAAATAAAAAGGCAGGACAGAGATTACAACTAAAAAAAAAAAATGCAGGACAAAATTTTTCATCCTAGCCCCCCCATAAAAATCAAATGGTAGCTCCCTTAGTATCAGCAAGTGTTTAATAGCTGCAAACCATAATAAAAAAAAATTATGGTATAAATATAAAAACATAAGATCAGAAACGTAATTTGTTGCAGTTTAGTAAATTTTCACTTTCAATTTTACCTGATGTTTCTGCTGTTCTGACTTTAAATTGAGAAAAACAATGTTATCAAGGTGAAAAGTATTCAGGTCTTCTTGATTGAAATTTGAATCACTAAAGATTATCCATTTTGATATGTGCTGGACTCGCAACTGTCCCTCTACATACTTGTTATGAAAATCACGAGCCTAAAATTGAAACATTATTATTTTATTTTAACGGTATAGTAGTTAGCTACTCCTCAGCATAATTAAAAATATAAGATAAGGCTATAAGCTCGGCTGGCGAATTCAAATGTATAACTTTGTAATATCAACTTATGGTTATTTGTATTTTTAATATGAAATGTCCTCTATTTCTCGATTGTGACATGACCAAATGTGACTTCTCACCGGATTTTTATTTGTATGTGAAGAAAACAACGGGCACAATATGTATAGCGGGAATATTAACCCTTCCGCAACAGCGGCATTCACCCCTTTTTGTAATGGGGTTCTTCGCATTGTTATATCTTTATTTTTCTATGTTGTGTATTGCAGACTAGTTCGTCTTTTTGTGGTCTTTGTGTTGTTGCCATTGTGTATAGAGATAAGAAGATGTGGTATGAGTGCCAATGAGACAACTCTCCATCCAAGTCAAAATTTATAAAAGTAAACCATTATAGGTCAAAGTACGGTCTTCAACACGGAGCATTGGCTCACACCGAACAGTAAGCTATAAAGGGCCCAAAAAATTACTAGTTTAAAACCATTAAAACGGGAATCCCAACGGTCTAATCTATATAAAAAACGACAAAACGAGAAACACTTATGAACCACATCAACAAACGACAACTACTGAACATCAGATTCCTGACTTAGGACAGGTACAAACAAATGCAGCGGGTTTAAACGTTTTAATGGTACCAAACCTTCACCCTTTTTCTGAAACAATAGTGTAACATCACAACATAGAAAGACACACTATAAAATATCAACTGAAATAGCTTAACTTAATCAAAGGACAAATTAACATCAGTGAACATACATTGAACAAATAAATTTGACCTATGATACAATGTAAATACAAAATAAATAAACTAAGGGAAGAATAATAAAAGTAACATGTTATATCGGTATGAAATGTTAAACAATTTAAGAAAAACAATATGCTCGAACAAAAAAATAAGCCATTTGCAATTACTTTAAACACAGGTAAATGAAAACAATTTTGTGGTTAGGTATACGTGTACAGTTCCAATAGAGAAAGGAAATATCTTTACAAAATAAATAATTTTGATGTTCATAGTACGAAGTGAAAATTTATAGTAATACCAAACACTTATCAAAGCTGGTATATAGACCAGATATAACCCTGAATAACATTAAATAACAAAAATGCATTACAATTAGTATCAACAGGTCAAATAAACAAGAAAGTACGATTTGAGAGTACTCGCAGTTACTGACAGGTAGTTAAAAGCCAAAACAATTAATAATAAAAAATCATGCATCAGAGACTAAAATCAACTAAAACACATCCCAGGGATTTAGTATTTTAACGTCATGGACAGTCAAAGAAGACATGACTTGTGCAATGCCAAAAATAAATGTATCGACAGACAGTAGGATAGTTAGGAGTTTAACCTCTTTATAGATCAAAATGAACGTGGGTGTGTCTTTATACATCCCGTTAAAAAGAATACAAATTTAGTTATGTTTTAATTTGCTGATGACAAAATCGATATTAGTGCCAATGTAAACTATAATATTCAAAGATCTAATTACAACATTGGTAAGATAACCTTTACTAATAAGTTTGTTTAAAGGTTCGATGAGTTTACACGGATCACATAGTGATTTCTTCCGCGCTTGAAGTACAATATTACCGTAAAATTTAGGATGTGAAATACCGTTTTTAATCAGTTTTCTACAGGTACAGCCAAATTTACTAATCAAATCTTTGTATATATGAATGAACTTAGCAAAAGTTTTACGTAATTTATGGTAACGAAATCCCTGACTTAATAATTTACCAGTGATGCATTGATTACGTTCGTTAAAATCAATGACATCACTACACACACGGGCATAACTCAAATGAATGTAGCTGTTTCTGAGCTTTTTGGGTTTTAAATATCTCGTTTGTTCTTTTGCCCTTTTTTCCCATTATTTCGAGGACTTAGATCTTTAACTACATACAGAATGGTCGTCTGATTTGTAAACTTAACGATAATGTAGCTGTCCTTTTTTGTGGCATTTTAACTTAGTGTAGATTCACATGACGGACTATGCATACATTTCAGGATATGCCCACCCCCTCGTCGTATCTTGTCTTGGAACAATTGGAGTTAGTGAGATTTTTTAATTTTTTTTAAATCTTGAATTATGTATCATAAATGAATTAACGAGATTAACCATTATTAAACTATTGTTTTCGCTCATTCAAAAGTACGTTATACGTCATATCTAGCTAAAAATCATGTACTAATATACTACCGATTTGAGTACTGTAATAGACGAGTTGACATTACATATCATAGTAACATTTAAAGCACCGTCCAACATATCTACTTTCAAGTTGGATAATATTCCGGTAAGTTGACATTCAGTATAGAAGTCAATGTTGTATACCATAAGAAACACATCTGCACGTGATAATATGTCTGTTACTTGTGTTACGATTTGTGCTGAAACAAAACATATTAAAGTTATTGCATTTCTACAGCTGTGACGTTTGCGTCTAATATTCAGATATCATTATTGGAAGTTTTCAAATGTTTACATGAATTCCGTTAAATATATTATGGTTTTGTTATATCCTATACGTTAAATAATTTTATGATAAACAAAAATTTTTAGATCTTAAAAAGTCTCATTTGCTAGTTGATATCCACTTATCGATATCAAAGTTTATTTGTGGTCCTTTTTCAAATAACACAGATTTCAAGATTTCAGCTGGTAACGTAGAACCTACGCGTCATTGAATTTTAAATATTTCTTTGATCGAGAAATCTAGTTCCCGGTATTTTTTTATTCACAAGAAT